CTGTGTAATTATCACCGTCTTACATCGATATTATAAAAGCAATAATTTATTACCACTTTCAAAAATTCTCTTATTGTCTATGAGACCCCAACCCCCTCCCTGGGTTGGGGTCTATGATTCGCCGGGAACATCACTTGTCCCAGATACCTAGGAAAATACATTGTAATTACTTTCGTCCTTAACTAAGTAATCTGTACATTCAATGTTAATTAATCTGCAAATTCGGGAGATTCTGAACCCTCTCTCCGACCCCCTCTGGATCCACGAATGTTTTTATTTTTTTGTTGTTTTGTAATTTTTGTTTTTCAGAAAATATGCTGCTGGAAAATATTTTTCAAAATAGACAATTTAAATGGGTCTCTTTTTAGTAAATGAAAAAGAAACTAGTGGTACCGTAAGCAATGAGTTCAATAAAAGATATCCCCCGCCTTCCATATAAATATAAAGGCAGTGTCCATGATCAAAAAGTACAATAAGGCACAAAATGGCAATATATAATAAAAGAATCTGTGAAAATTTCACCAAATTTCAATCAGTGATATGAAAGGAGTTGCGGATAGAGATGGGTACCCCCAAAGCGTAACAGATGGACGGACGGACATCCCGATTACTAAATAGTATATACATGTACATATACATGTACCGTCCCGCTTTTCAAGCGGGGTGTAGAAATACAGTTATATATGTAAATTGATTTACAATACCTTAGGCATACAATACCTAATAAAATGTGTATGAATGCATTGTCAAAACGTAAGAAATCTCTAATAAGACAATCTTTTCTTCTCAGCAGAAATTTATCAAAATATTATTTGAGTACGTTATTACTCAAATCAACTACGTCCCCAAGTAATTGTAACAACACCCCCCTCCCCCTCTTCATAATATGTATAATAAAATAATTAATTGTTTGTATTTTAAATTCTTCTTAGAACCTTACATTTTTTCCTTAGAACTCGCTTAAATTGATATAAAGGCTTTATTTTAACTTTACGCCCTAACTTTCGCCTACCCATGAGTAGACGTAAAATTATGGCCTAAATTTAGTCAGGCGCTCTTTAATGAAATGCTAATATTCGTGCTAGTCCCGACTTTACGCCGGCGTAGCGCTACGACTGGGCGTACGACCTTTGATGAAACGGGCCCCTGGGTATTAACTACAAATGATTCTTTTTAAAATTAAAGTTGAATTTAATTTTCGCTAGTAATTCTAAAATTTAACCATGGCGGGCGCGGATTTTAACCATGGCGCAGCAAATTTAACAATGGCGCACACAAATTTAACCATGGCGCACCTCCATGGTAAAACCCCTTGTGGAGAATCCTGTATTAGTAATCTTGAATCCGTTGAATTATGGATGTTATTTTCTTGTCAAAATATCGCTAAAAACAAATATTTTAAAGCCATATATGGCGTATGTACAATGAAAATTATTAGACTAAAATTATAAGAACTTATTATTTGTATCATTACTTTATAAAACATGATAAAGATAGAAATTTTCCGTAAATTACAAAATCTAAGTCAATTGCGTTATAAAGATATCGAAATTTAATTTGGATTCTCGGAATTTTCTCCGACTTGGAAGAAAATACAAAAGATTTAAATAACACATTACAGAGAAGATAAAATCGTATTAATAATTAGATAAAACGAGGTGTTCTCCGTGCTCCGAATTGTATGAAAAGCTTTACTTTAAATGTATTGACTATATTTCTTTACTTAATTTTGTATTTTTCAAAAATATATTTTTTTGATCAGTTACGCCATATATGGCTTAAAAAAAAACACTTATCATTGAGCTGATTGAGTAAATGTATATAATTTAATAATGAGATATCTGTGAAGCATATATGTAAAAGCAAATATTGCTATATTAAACAAAGGAAAGGGGGGAATTCATGTATTACATGTGTATTTTAAAATTCCTAATAGCCCAAGGGGATTCCTCAGTGCAGAAAACCACTAGCCCCATCCTCAGAAATGGAAGCCCCGGGTGTAGCGCGATGCTAATTGCACATCCATCATGTGAAATAGTTTAAGTAGCCCTATATCAATTTCAGTATTGTTTTAAATTAATTAAAACAAATGACAAAAACAATAATTAAAAAAAAATCAAAATAAAGCAGACACTCAGTCAAAATCAAAGACAGAAAGAAGCACTGTTTTGACTGAAAGATTTTCAATAATACAATGAATCTCTTAAGTTATATATCAGATGAGATAAACTTACATACAATTATTTAGTGGTTGTCAATTATCCTATTTATCCTATTTATCATCATCTCAGCTCACTTTGCGATTGTAATACTGTCTACATGAACCGATAATTTACAGCTGATTTATGAACACACGATTGTTAAAATTTTCATTTCCCTATCCAATATACATTGTCAGAACATACTTAGTTGGTTATGATATAAAATTAAATAATAAACACTTTCGATTTATTAAAGATTATCTAACAATATACGATCATTTACTAAATACTTCTCGCCCTCAAGCGAGTTAAAAAGACAGAGAAAATTCTAAATACAAACAAGTGCAACTTAGGATTAATTGTTCCGATATCTATTTTAAATTTTGTGCACAATTGTTTTCAAAATTACATTAAAATTACATTAAAATCAATTTTCCTTAAACAAGAACCCAGCAATAGATAAATATTAATCGAATAAACTTACCTTTCCTCTTGTCAATCAGACAATCTTGTTGACATTAAGTGTTTCTTAGTCGCCATATTTTTTTTCCATGAAAACAAACGTTGTTATGATCAGGATCAACGGAAGTTGAATTTCGGAACTCTCGAGAATTTAGAGTTCCGAATGTAAAACTGAAACAACAAAACACGGTGCGTCCGTGAAAGCAACTTTTTTGGACACTTTTTTGGACAAATCGTCGTGTCCAAGTTTTGTTGGGTACTAACCTGCAAATACCCAATTAGGGTGTTTTAAACATATTCAGCGACACTTCTTATTGGGTATACCCAATAAGCAAAAAGTACCCAATAAGTACAATCTTGGCATGAAAAATACCCAATAAATGCACTCTCGTAAACACGGACGGACGGACGGAAATCCCGATCACTATATACCCTCCCGCTTTTCAAGCGGGGGGTATAAAAATGAATTTAATGATAAGGAGGCTGGTGGGTCAACAATTTTATCCCAAATTAACCACCAGATTTAACTTATTTTTTTAGATACGGTATCTTTAGCTGTCAACTATCATTTGGCAAAGAAAAAATTCATATATTTTAGTTTTAAAATTTGATCATTTTGTATATCTTTATATGGAGCTCTCCTTTTAAAGGAGATTGAAATAGTCTAAAAATGGCTGCCACCCCCTAGCCTCGTTAATATAGAGAATTACTCTTTCTCAAACACATTGGCGTCGAAAGAAAATAGAAAGTGGAGGACTAAGTCAAAGAGAAAAAACTTCGAACCTGAAAAAAAAACTTGACAAGCAAAAAATAAAAAAAGAAAAGAAAAAGGAAAGTGTGTCTATTGTCTAACACGAAAATCCTTTTTCGTGAGGGAGGGGGGCGGGGTATGATTAAACTTCTTTCAGTACCAAATTTTTCTTTCAAACACTACTTACCCTTCATCAACAACATTGCAACGTGTCTGTTGAAAGTGAGGGGGGTAAACCCTACGCCCCAATGTTTAATACCTATATGATGTCTATCTTTGCAAAAAGAAAGTGGGGAAGGGGGCTACTCCTGTTCCCGGTTCCGACGCCCAAGAGACACATCTAAATATAAAGTTTAATTAGACATGTTTTCAATTTTCTTAATTGATTGGAAACGTAAGCATTGGCATCGGAAGCAAATTGAAAGTAGGTTATAAAAAATTATTCAAACCTGAAAGAAACTTGACAAGCAAAAAAAAAAAAAAAATAATAAATCCCGAAACAATAAAAGAAAATTGTCCATTGTCCAAACCAAAAAAATCCTATTTCGTAGGGAGGGGGTTTAAAGTTGCTCCTGAATGTTAATCAAATTAACTATGTTCATAGTTATGATAAGGAAGGATGCCTTTTTCGAAATTGTGAATTTCAAGACCCCTGGGAAAGTGGTTCTAGTGGTTCTAGTGTCGGAGGTCTGTGAATTTTATAGTGAAAATGCACTAATTCTTCTTCTCCATTGCTCCTGAGTATTATGCCGATGATTTAAATACATAATTATGATAAGGAAGGTTGCTTTTTCCAAAATCGTTAATTTGATGGCCCTTGGGTCACCTAGGTCAGGGGTACCTAGTTGGGGCGGGCTCTAATGAATATGTAATGAAACTTACTTAATGCTTTTAAAATCTGATTTTTGGTCCTAATCAAAGATTTTTGATGAGAGAAGGTATCTTTTACAAAATTGTTAAATGCGTGGAAAAGGGTCAGGGGTTCCTTTGGGGTGGGGCACTAGTGTACATATTGTGGAAATGCATTTGTTCTTTGTTCCTCTTTTCTGCCTCTGGGTATTGAGTAATCACAGTAAGCATACTAAGTGTATAGTTATGATGAGCAATGGAGCCTCTTTCAAAATTGTGAATTACATGGCCTCTGGTTTAAAACACGAACCAAATTCAACCTTCTCCTGAAGATGACCTATAAGACCCATGGGCATCTTGTATTTTTAAACACCATCACCTACCTTTCTTTGACTACACTGCAACGTGCCTGTTGAAAGGGGAGCTAAGCCCCCAACCCCAACCCCTCTCTCCCATTTTCGACGCCTATGGTAAGCAAATATATCCTTTCCATCAGGTTATTGAACTTTAAGCAATTAATTAAAGTAAATCAGTTTCAAAGTTTTATTTCTAAATAAATGAAGTGAGGAAGATGTCAAAAATCAAGAAATATGCATGTCTCTTCAAAACAATGTTTGAAAGCAGTTTATAAAATAAACAGAATAAGACCTCATTCAGATTATAAAATCTGTCGTGATAAAGATTTGTTTGAAAAAATGGATGTTGTAAAGATAACTTGTTTTGTCTAAATTTTACAGACGATAGGATACGGTATGGTGCAGGGGTAAACAACATAAACGGGGGTGAAATTTTCTACCTATGACAAAGACGATGACCCCGCATCAGATCCTTGTACAGATTGGGCAGGAACTGGTGGATGGTGGTTTAACTCTTGCCACGACGCCTACCTTAACGGGCAGTATCCACCTGGAAAGTGGATATAACCTTGGCAAGGTACATTTATTGATGGATCACATGTTTCCAGTACAA